CCATGGAAAAGAGTGTGGCGCCACTGCTGGATGCTGAATAAACTAGTGTAATGAAACTACATAACGCTCACTTTAAACAAGACAGAAAAAGATAGAGAGAATAGGGAGATGGGTAGAAAAGGGTCGAGCAAAGGAGGACAAATGATTTTAGGGTTTTTTAACATGAACATTAGAGCACTTATGTTGGTTTTTAAAACCTGTTACACTTTCTAAAACCAGATATTTAACACATTAAACCAGTGAATGAGACACAGGGGTGCATGGTCAACCCCAGAATCTAGCAATGGTGTTTTTTTGAAGAAAGAGTTAATTTCACTAAAGCAGAAAATGGAACTTCACACTGGGGCTGAGAATGAGCTGGCAGCTAACATGCAGACTGGTAAAATGGATTCTCTGGGTCTCTTTTATTTTAAATCCATGGCTTGTTGCTCATGTCTGTTTAGGAACGTGTAATAAAAATATTCAGTCTTGTTCTGTACCCTTCGGAAAAACGCTTGTGTCTACCTGGATGCCATGTTTCCATCACTGCTGAAATGAACTGGAACTTGTAAATAGCCTTAATTTATGCACTGTTATTGAGTCCAGGAATGAATACTAATTGCATCATTTCCCTATGTAGACAAAGACCAGATGTATGCATGTATTAGTATTTTGTTTCCTGTAGCAGCCTAAAGGAAAGGGGGTGATCTAGAACTGTTTGAAAATAATGATAGCCAATAAGGAATGAAAAATTAATTTAGAACTTAAAGAGGCTAAAATGGGAAACCAGTAAACAGTTTGTGTTGCTAATAGCACCTTTATCAACCATTGAATGTGTGTATGTACATGCACTGTATGTTTGTGTGCTGGCAAAAGTAATTGTGTGCCTGATAGGATACTGAAGAACAAACATGCTGACACTTAGTGGGGCCTCGCTGACTTGCTAATCGATAGGCCAACAGGTCGTGATACTAGGCCAACCTGGCATCCAATCACAATACAACACAGGGGATTGCCAAAGTGATGGATGACCCTGGTTATATGTGTGTGTGTATGGATATGCACATGTGTTAGCTTCCAAATGTGTTACTTTGTCAACATGTGTGTAAAGATAAGCAGAATGTTGGTTGGATGGATTTTTTTAAAGGGTCTTCAGTAAAAGGGTTAGCTTCTGTTTTTTAGTACTCTTGGAACACTAAAACTAAACGTGTTAACCAAAGACCTTACAAAATGTAATTAAAGCACATCGTGGCATGTGTTAGTGTTTGCTTGTTGTTAACTTTTATAGTATTCATCCATTCTCTTTACCCGCTTCTTCCTTTTTGGGTCGCAGGCATCGCTGGTGCCCATGTCCGACAATCGCTGTGCGAGGTGCGGGTGACACCCTGGACAGGTTGCAAGTCCACCACGGGGACACATAGAGACAAACGAGACAAACAACCAGTCACACTCTCACTCACCCCTAGGGACAATTTACAGTTACCAGTCAGTCTAACATGCATGTTTGGTCTGTGGGAGGAAACTGGACTACCCAGAGCAAACCCATGCATGCACGGAGAGAACAAGCAAACTCCACCCAGAAAGACCCTCAGACCGGGTTTTAAACCAGGGCAACCTGCTCGCTGAGAGGCAGCAGCTCTACCAACTGTGCCACCATGCTGCCCCACTTAAAGTAGTAACTCATTCAATTATCTTGTTTTAAACAAACTTGTAGACATGTCAAAAGGGTTGCAAGTTTAACTTTAGCTCTTTTTGCAGTAGTTGTACCTTATTAACATAAGGGAGGATGTCTTCATCAACTTCCCCCCATTTATTGTTGCAAATTCCTATTAACCAACTGGGCAACATCAGTGTAATTGTTTGACTGCTAAAAAACACTGCTTTTTACTTCAAGCAGACATGCCTATTTAGCTGTTCTTCCATTAGAGGCATACCAGTGGCTACACTTTGACTTGCTGCCTCTTTACTTTCACATATCATACTAATGTGCAGTAGCCTGACTATAATGGTGACCTGCAAAAGGGGTGATTTAGGATTGCTCTTACTATTGAAAAATTAAACAATATACCCACTTATTGTAATCTCTTAAGTAATCACAATCACTGTGTCTATGCTCAGAAGCAGGTCCACCAAACCTAGAAAATTAATCACTGCTTATAAATTATAAATATCACCTGTGGGAGTGTCCAGGTTATTGGATGAAGTCCTTAAACTGCACTGTGCAACAATCACATTTACCTCGTTTTAATTATGACCAGAGCAGCACAAATTAGTGTGGAGTTGCGAACAAGTGGCACTGTTAATAATCAGGAGGCTGTAATTTTCCAACAACACACACACAGCTTGTTAAAGCCACTACACAGGTCGAATAAACATGAACATTTACCAGTTCTAGAATTTAAAATACCATACACCCTTTGCCACACAACAAAAACCCCTTTCATGGGGTTTATTTGAATTAACAAACATCTACATTAACAAATTTATTGCATATTTGCATTCAAAAGTGCCTTTTTTCAGGTTTAGACACTACACATTTAGTGTGTTTTTTTTTTAAGTAAGAGCAAATAAGAACTAATGTGTCGCCAATTACTAAAAATATGATGAATGGCTTGGACATAAGTTTGTTCTCGACTTGTGGGATATTTGTAAAATGACTTTAATTTAGAAGACATTTGAATGAAAGTACCAATTAAATCATTCAACAAACCAATCTAAAAGTCACTCTACTGATGCTATTAAATCATTTTAACCTACTCATTAACTGCTTTGTGAATATATTTTTTTCACACATTTTGATTGTTTGATGAATGCAGTTCATCTAAAGTTGTCATTTAGATGAATTTGAAATTTTATTTCAGCTTTTTTTTTAACATTTCTGGAGATAAAAAGAATGCAGATCTATTGTTCCACTGACTTTCATTTAGAAGCTCACTGAGCAAAACCTGCTGCTCTACAACTGCTGATTTTATTGTTTTCTTCTATTCCGTCTTCTCATAACTTCCTACCTTTTTACCTTATTCACTGACTCCGTCCTAGCAGATTCATAGTTCTATCTATCATGTTGGGCATTTTCTGTTTTTCACAATCTCCCCAAGTATTTCTCTCTGTGTTCTTGCCTCCCCCTCACCCCATCTGTTTGGTTCCCGCTCCACTCCTCACCCACCCCTATTCTTGTCTGAACAGTTTCATAGTTGTATCAATCAAGTTCAAACTATAAGATGCGAGTTGCTCCCCTTGCTCCCATCTATATCCCGCTTTATGGCTTGTAATACCTCTTTTCCCTCCCGCTCTCTGTCTTTGTGTCTGTATACGTGGGTGTTTATATGAGCACAACAGTGCTTATGTTTTTTTGGCAGAGAACTGTAAATAGATCTAGAGGGGAAGTGTGATTAGCACCTTTACATTGCCTATTTTTCCTCTGAGGCTCTGTTTAGTCAGTTTTGGGGAGCAATCAAATGTGCTTTTGCAGGCATCGTGCTTGGGAGTATATAATCCTATAGGCTTAAAATATATGTGCACTCAGGGCAAGCTGTCAGAACAACAGTAACTTTATGTTGATATGACAACGTACAGTTCATCTTTCAATCCATCTGTCTCTCTTTTCTTATGCGTGTCTTGCTCATGTTCCAGCTTCTATAGGCTTGCAGAATGTACATGTAAAAAGCAGTGTATGTGTATGGTTTGATCTAACATCGAAAGACATTCTGAGATTTGCAAACCAGTAAAAATATTTTTTCTGACATTTACTTGCATTGACACAAGTCAAGCACAAAACGTATGGCTGCACATTTTGTAAACATCGGTATAGATGACGTGTCCATTAAGGACTCAAGAAAAATTGTTCTAAATTCAGAATGTTTATTAGGTAGAAATAGTGTTATAATATTCAGAAAATATCTTGCCAAGCAATGACATGGGTAACATTTATATTATATTAACTATAATCCAAAGCAATATTTTTGTGCTAATACCAAATTCAAAACTAAAACTTACTTTAGCTTCTATAAACATTGGACAACTGCATAATGTTGTGATCTATACTCAGTTTTTTTGTGTTGATTTAGGTTTTGTGTTGTCTTGTTCTCTGCTTCTTTAATTCTCATTTGGTGTTTCTTTTATTTTTTATCAATTTCTTTATCGTATTCCTCCACTGAGTGTTGATGCTACTAAACTAGTCTCATTAGCTTCCGCACTCAATTGGGGAGTTGTCTGGTAATTATTTTATTTCTGTTGCCAACCTAAGCATAACATTTGATATGTTTATCCAAGAGTCTAATTTTTAATAACTTTAGAATTTTTCCCAATCATCTATCTAATAAAAGACTCAAATTGCAGACATCACAATAAGCTGTTGGGCTGCTGAGATTTTACCTAATTATCTTTACCCACAGTAAATATATTGGCACAGTCCTGAATAAGCTGTTTGATATTCATTGTTGAGGTATACTGCCAGCAGTTACGATAGACATTAATCCTTAGAAATTCCTTGGAGTCCAATTCTATGTATAAGTAGAGGTTTTGAACAAAACTATAATAATTGTTTTGAAATATAAATAGTATTTGCATGACTATGAAATTCAAAATAAATGCAGGAGAGCTCATTTGATTGTGTATAGAATGAACAATTTTGAACCAACAAATTGAAGAAAAAACGTTTGCAAAAGGAAAGTTTGCTGTGGGTTCATAACTGTGTGTAACTATTTTAACTGGCTCATTACATAACTTTTGGCCAGAGATTGGTGAAATTAATCAGCTAGATTGTGGTTTCCAATGTGAATGGCTTTTTTGATTATAGTTGGTTATCTCCTTTATTTAAGTGATTGATCAGTATCAGCAAAGTTAAATATTAATGTCAAATGTTTTATCTGCTGTGATGGACTTGCAACTGGTCCAAGCTATACCCTGCCTCCAACACAACGACCACTTGAGATAGGCACCAGTTATCATACACGGAACAGTGGGCGAAACAAAATGGATTCATAGATGTTTTCTGTTTTGTCTTTTTTTGTTCTTTTCAGAACTCCACAGTACGTCTTGTGGGAATCCTGGTGTTCCACCTAAAGCAGTACTAAGCAGCAGTGGCCGTTTTGCAGTAGGAGATCGTGTGCAGTACAGCTGTGTCCCCGGCTATGTCTTAGATGGTCATGCCACGCTCACATGCATCACCAACGCTGCAAACACCGCAGTCTGGGACTTTCCTGCTCCAATTTGTCGAGGTATGGATTAAATATATATTTATTTGTGCATGAGATGAAGAGTTTTATTCAATTTTTTTACTCAAAAATCCCCCAACAAAAACTAAAAATATAGCAAGACCATAAATAGTGTACCTAATATAAAGTGTTTTTCAAACATTGATTATTTTACAATATACTGAACATCCTGTATTTTTCCCAGATTTTTAGACACTAGCAGATGATTTAAAAATAATATGTGAAAACTGAGAATAAGACTCTTCATTTATTCATTTGTGTGCCGATGTGTGTGAGAGTGCAACGGGAAGACAGACTGCGGATGGATGTTTGCATGTGCATTTTTCAGAAAGTGATGCAGGCAAACCAAGACACACACATACTGTCTGTGTGTATACTTGTGTGTTTGAATGAGTGGGTTTTTCATACTTGAGCATGTGGGAGAACTATATATATATATATATATATATATATATATATATGCATACAGAGAGAGAGAGGTTATATCGTATTGCATTTACATTTTATTATCTTTTGCCAAACAGCAGCTCATTTGGTTAATAATTCTCAGTCATTCAGTGTAGGTAGATTCATATTTAGTGGTGTATGTGTGAATGCAGAAATATATGTTTGGATATATTTTTAAACATAAGTTGATAATTATTTATGACATGTGTTGCAAGGTGTGAATAAATAACACATTAAAGTGATACTATAATGTTTTTTTTATTCCCCATCAAGCTTGTTTCATTTCACACGAAAAAATGTCAGTGTTAGTAACTTCAGCATTGTCTTTTGTAATCATACTGATTTGTAAGTTCACACACTGTATCTTTTATTATCAAAAAGGAGTTGTTTTTTGTTGGTTACTATCCCAGCAGCACTTTTTAAGCAAATACAGTCTTATCAGCATTCTTAAATAATGAGTTTTCAATGTAACACCACATAACACACAGTAGGCTCTTTTATAAAACAGTTCCACAATATAAGGATTTGACCAGTCTGTCATTTTATTGTCTCTGGCAATTCATAAATCCCAGTTAGAGCCAGGGACTTTTCACAAAAACATGACTTTTGAGAAATCAAGCAGTGTGGAAACAAAAGAGGCATGGAGCAGAACTCAGCTACATCGACAATGAGCACAGCCCCCCAACCCCCCCCCCCACCCCCCCCGGTGTCATTTACAAACATAATACAGAAACTCAACTTACTTTATAGACCCTTGTTGTGGTTAACTACTTTTTTTTTAACTAAATAAGAAGCTGCAAGCAATAATCTTCAATATTCCCTTCAGTAATAAATTTGTTTGTTGTTGTTCATTCTCACAACTGGGCACTAACTCTTTATTGTCATCAGTTCATCACATTATATAGCCATGGCACCATGGCTTACTTTTTCACATGATGGCTTTGTGATTATGTCACTCCATGGCACAAAGGCACACCAGGGGTGGGCTGTCTTCTACCTCCTCACCGCCTTGGTCCATTGAGAAGTCAATGTGAGCTGGCCAGAAGGCATTTCAGCCTTATCCTGTGGTGATTTTTAAAAGAGCCTAATGGAACAAGAGAAACAACAACAATAAAAACCCACAGTAGCTTATTTTTTAAATTGCATATAAATATGTCAGAGTCAGAGTCAAAGTTTCTTTATTGTCATTCGCACCTCATGTCATGTCCTCTTCATCAGACTGTCATGCAACAATAAAGTGTCTTCAGTCAGCGGCTTCTTCAAATCCGTTGTAGGACAGACCGCTACAAGATATCCTTCCTGCCCACAGCCATCAGCATCTATAACAACTCATTAATGAAACCAGGATGATGAGTTACCACAACATATAATTTCCCTCTGGGATTAATAAAGTATTTTTGAATTGAATTGAATTGAATGTGGTACATGTGATGGAGCGAAATAATGTACACATGATCCCAGTTACATCCAACAATAAAATGTAAAAGAAAAACAGTGATAACATCCAAGATATGAACTAAGAAAAACATCAACTAAATATACACTAAGCACTAATAGCATAAAAATATATATGTTGAACATCAGCACAAACATGAACATGAGTATGTGTAAGCAGATGAGTAGACATGAACACATCAACATGAAACAGATCAGCAGCAACATGATGTGATTTTTTCACAGTGATTATTCTGGTTAGAGATTCATGAGTCTAAAAGCCTCAGGGTAGAAGCTGTTCCGCAGTCTATTGATTCCACACTTAATGCTCCTCAATCTCCTTCCTGAGGGAAGCGGGGCAAAAAGTGTGTGTGCTGGGTGAGTGGGGTCCTTCATGATGCAGGTGGCCTTCCCTGCATCTGGAGATGTACATGTCTGTGATGGTGAGGAGACTGACTCCAACAGTCTTCTGTGCAGCCTTCACCACTCTCTGCAAAGCTTTTCTTTCTGCAGCTGTGCAGCCTCCATGACACACGTTGATGCTGGAGCACAGGGTGCTCTCCACTGCACACCTGTAGAAGGAGGTGAGGACTGAGCTTCCCAGACCAGCTCGTCTCAGCTGTCTGAGGAAGTAGAGTCTCTGATGAGCTTTCTTGATCAGGCTGGTATGTACACCCAAGTACTTGTAGCTGGAGACCACTTCTACCGCAGATCCTCTTATGTTCAGGATGGTGTAGGTGTTTTGTTCCTTCTGAAGTCCACAATCATCTCCTTTTTTTTCTTCACGTTGATGTGAACGTTATTCTCTTTGCACCAGCTCTCCAGGTGTTCCACCTCTTGCCTGTAGCTGGACTCATCATTGTTTGTGATGCATCCCACCACCACTGTATCATCTGCAAACTTTACAATGTGACAGCCTGGATGGGTAGCTGCACAATCATACATGTGCAGAGTAAACAGGAGGGAGCTCAACACACATCCCTGAGGAGAGCCAGTGCTGAAGGTTATGGTGGGGGTGGAGAAGTTGTGGAACTTCACTAACTGTGGTCTGTTTGTTAAAAAAGTCTAGTACCCAGTTGCAAATGGAGGGGCTTAGTCCTAGTGTGAATAGTTTGTCCATCAGGGTTTGAGGGATCATAGTGTTGAAGGCAGATGTGAAGTCCACAAAGAGCATACGGATGTAAGAGTTTTTCTGCTCCATGTGGTTGAGCGCAGTGTGACCACAGAGTAGATGGCATCCTCTATTAATTGGTTCTCGCAGTATGCAAACTGATGAGTGTCCTTGTTGATGTTGATGGTTGATTTGATGCGAGTCATGACCAGTTTTTCGAAGCATGTAGTGGCTATCGGGATGAGGGCCACTGGCCGATAGTCATTCAGACCGGTCACTGTAGAGCTCTTTGGAATTGGGATGATGGTGTCAGTCTTCAGGCAGGTGGGAACTGTCTCCAGGGTAAGTGAGGTGTTAAAGATATCTGCCAGCACCTCGCAGAGCTGATCGGCACATTCGTTCAGGGATGTTGTCTGGGCAGTTGCTTTGTGCCTAATTCTCCTGAAAGTACTCCTTACTGCTGCTGAGGTCAGGCTAAGATGCTCTTCATCCGGTGGTGAGGTGAGTCTGGTGCTGGGTGGTCTGTTCAGGTCTTCAAAGCGTGTATAGAACTTGTTGAGGGCATCAGGCAGAGATGGGTCTTTGGGGCATTAACTCCTTCCTTTACAATCTGTTATGCACTTAATGCCCCTCCACATGCTCCAAGGGTTTTGTGAGGTGAATTGACCCTTGATCCTCTGTGCATATGTGGCCTTGACCTTCTTAATACCAGCAACCAGTTCTTTCCTTGTCCTACTCAGCTTCTCTGAGCTTCCAGACTTGACAGCAGTGTTCCTGGCTTCCAGCACGGTGCGCACCTCTGCATTCAGCCAAGGTTTTCTGTTTGGGTAGCTTTTAACATATCTGATAGTGGAGATGGTGTCAGTACATGTACTAATGTAACCCAGAACTGAGGATGTGTATTGGTCCAGATCAAGCGATCCTCCATTTTCAGCAGCTTCTCTGAAAACCTGCCAGTTTGTTCGATCAAAACAATCTCTCAGTATGGGGCCACTGTCCTAGATCCAATATTTAACTTTCTTTTGTACCGGTCTGAAATGTCTCAGCGGGGGGCATGTAAGCAGGAGCCAGGAAGATTGAGATGTGGTCTGACAGTCCTAAGTGGGGCGGGGTTCGGCTTTGTATGCATCTTTTGTGTTTGTGTAAACACAGTCCAGCGTGTGGTCTCCACGTGTTGGTATGCACACATGTTGATAAAAGCTTGGGAGACAGTCCTTTAGATTCACGTGATTAAAGTCTCCGACTACCACGTAAAGCACCTCAGAGTGTTTGTTCTGCAAAGAGCTGATTATATCATGAAGTTCTTGTAAGGCGTCATTAACATTACCATCCGGAGGAATGTAAATAACTGTGATGAAAGTCACTGTGAACTTACGGGGTAGATAATGTGGCTGACGTTTCACTGTTATTTGCTCTAAAGCCTTCAAGTATGAGCTGTATACGACAGTACAGTTTGTGCACCAACTTTTACTCACGTAAATGCACACTCCGCCTCCCCGTGATTTCCCCGTTAGCTCGCTGTAGCAATCCACTCAAAAAAAAAGTCTGTCATCCAGCTGGAAGACTGTATCCAGCGTTGTGCTTGTAATCCACGTTTCTGTGAGGCAAAGCACCGCACACTTCATCATCTCTTCTGAGGCGCTCGCTCTCAGACAAAGTAACTCCATCTTGTTGCCCAATGAGCGGATGTTCGACAGAAAGAGAGATAGCATCGGGAGTTTTCCGGCTTTAGCGTTAGCTCGTAGCCTGACCATAACTCCTGCCCAGTATCCTCTCCTCTTAAGCCGGGAGCAGCGCTTCATCTTCTGCCTGCTGGAACGCCTCTTCTGCAGCTTCCATCTAGATGACTTTAAGATCTGCATTCTTCCGATCGTAGCGTGCTGGGCAGCACAGTGGCACAGGTGGTAGAACTGCTGCCTCTCAGCAAGCAGGATACCCTCGTTCAAATCCTGGTCCAGGGGCCTTTCTAGGTGGAGTTTGCATGTTCTCTCCATGCATGTGTGGGTTTCTC